TTCTCTAAAACAAGTATCGTTATGCTCAAAGCTCCCTTTAAGGCGATCACGATGGACTTGGAGGCTAATAACAATGTGCTGTAGTCACAGAATACAACCTCTTTTCAGTATTACCGACTGAAGTACAACTGAACCTTTCAATGACTAATAACATTGCAATCTTCTTTTTAGGAATCAAAAGTGCAATCTTTATTCAAAACACAATCTTTAAATCAATGTTTTTATGCACATTGTGCTGTAAAAGTCTGTGTTCGTTTTATAGATCAGAAATCAATTTTTTCTAAAAAAACCTTGAATGCACTTCTCTTTTCGTCAAAACTCATTTCAGAACTTGCCTAAAAATTAGAGTCTTCTGACTTACCTGCTCAACGCCTAATATTCAGCTCGAGCTAATCTTGCAACAACAAAATGGTGATCGATTTGGCTTTGATAACGAATAGGGCTGGATGTAACAGCAAACTTGTTTGCTCTACTCTTCGAAAATTTCGAGCTTCGCGTTGTTTATAGACGCTTATTTATATTAGAGGTTAATTCCACCTGTTAAAAACCCTTGCAAGGGGTAAATATTTTTCATGTTAGTTCGTGACTTACCAATTAGTGTTTCTAGTTCCAAAACATCAAGAAGGCTATGGTTATGCTCATAGTTCCCTTAAAAAAAAGATAACTGATAAATAAAAAGATGGCTGCATTGAAGGACGCCACCACAATATTCATCTATGTAACACAAAGGTATAAGGAATAAGAAAGGTCGGAACCGCGGAATTTACCTCTCTTGCGAGCTTCGGTTATTAACAAAAGGCTGAACACCAATCATAAAAGAAATCAGGGCCTTGCTACATTATATTTTCTATAAATTTAAAACACCGAACACGTTTAAATAAAGTAGTCAGAATAGATGATGTAAGATTTGATTTCAACGAAAAAAATGTGCGTTCAGGGATTAAGGTTTACATACCTTGCCAGATTTGTAAAGAAATTTGCCAACTTAACAAATCTTAGATACTGAAATTACTAAGGGGCTCGTTTCCTATCAGAAACCATAATCTCTATATTTCTACGTGTTTCAACCTGCAGAGCACGTCAGGCAGACCAGAGGGACTTGAAAAATACGCTCTTAAAACCACAGGTTGGGTTCCAAGTCCTGGGCGGCTACTGTTGCTGTCTCGCTCAACTGACTTCCGTAGTATCAAAGGGTATAACAAAACTGATTCTAACATTAAGAAGAAACCTTAAACGTGCATTTATGACGACAACTTAACTGATTTGTGTTATTATTATACATAGGTGTCAAAATTTGTATTCGGTTTGGTTACAAGTAGGATGGGGCCGTGATTTCGTTTCATGCGCGACTTTTGCTTAATTTTACGCGCCAACAACACTCTGTTGTAAGAATGCATTTGCAATAATACATCTTCTGACGGGTGAGGGGCCAATTTAGCTGTAAGCCAGTTTTAAAAGCTTTATTTTGATTACCTTTACACAAGTGACTCTGAACAATGGCTCGTGATAACGTCTCATATTAACACTACCTAAACAAAATCAATACACCTTGCAGTACTTTTGAGAGGCAACGAAGACAATACTGAAGACACTAATTACAATATCGATTTGATTATCCCCAGCTCTTAAGGGCACAATTGTTTTCATCTAAATACGTCTCACATTTCCGACGACTAAACTAATTTATTCACTGGTCAAGTAGGCGAGAAGGAACCTGTCTCCTTTAAAGCTCAGTCGGCCATGTTGAACAGCAAGATTGTCCAGCAC